AATGGCTAGTCGTTTCCGTGGAATGAAAGCTGTTATAGGGTAGAATGCTGTTGTTGTTGTTGCAATAATCGAGATCGTAACCGAAAGTTTATGGGTTTGAACCCTGTCAGGGAGCCCGACATTTTGTTGTTGGGAAAGGAACTTTGCACGATTTACCCTCACGTTTTCAAGGTGAGAAAGGGTACACGGATATAGACAGCGACAGATCATGCCAACTTGTTCGTGTTTTAGGCGTTTTATCCGCTGCTTGCACTGTATTATGCTTCCCCGGAAGCCGAGAAAGTTTCAAAGTGTTCTACGGTCTGCTAGGGTGATAATAGTGATGGATGTAAAGCGCACAGAGCATTCTGTAGAGTATGAATATGTGTTATATACTCATTGTTATTATTATCAGTATTATTATTATTGTTATTATTATTATTATCATTCTTCTTCTTCTTCTTCTTCTTCTTCTTCTTCTTCTTCTTCTTCTTCTTCTTCACCACGACCCTCACTTTTTCTCATCTCTCATTTGTAAAAATCTTGTCCACGTGGCTACTAGTATCGAGTACTCAATGTACATTAATACTCTAACTTTTTTAGCTCCCCGTTATAATTTTGAGAGTTTAGAATTCAAAGTCCCCCATTTAGGATAAGAAACCTGAGTTTTAGAGGACAGAGCCCCGTGCAGTGGTGTAAGATTTTTGTATTGTGAGATATGACGAACGATTCTGAAATAGTTGGGTATCGATATTTGACGATTTCGATACTATACAATTAAACGTCATTTTTAACATATTTCTTTCTTTAAGATGCATGCTGACTTTCAGTATGTTATAGAGGAAGGTCTACTGGTTGTAACGACACCAAAATCATCTTTGTTGCAATTATTTTACCCCCATAGTGAAATGCACAGGTACATATGGATTATTCGCCTAGATCTAGATTTAGATCTAGCACTACTAGCTAGTGAATACCATTACTCGGTAATAGGAAGCTTACTTGTTACACTAAATCAGTATTAGTATTAGGGTTGGGCTCAAAATGTGCTGTTCCAATCAAATACTAAACCACCCTAGATCTAGATCTACAAAGGCCAGTCCTATCCCTGTACACTGCATGCAGTGTCCAGCTAACACAGCCGTTCTAGTTAGTCATTAGTAAGTTATAAAAAATTAGGGAATGCCTTTCTAGATCTAGATCTAGACTAAGAACTATAAGGAGAGGCAAGTGTAGGCCTAGGCCTAAGTCTAAATATCTAGATCCAGATCTAGTCTCTCTCCTTTAGGAGACTCGGTGAGTCTTGTTAGGTTGTATACGATACAATATCTAGATCTAGAGCTATATCAAACTGACCAGAATTCACCTATGATAAAATGTCACAGCTATCTAATCATTACCTTATGTTCTGAATGAAGATCAAGGGCCAGATCTACAACACGTTCCCCAGAAAAATCCAGTTTCGCTTTAGCGAAAAAGACATAGATTTACAATATATACTGAGAGCGAGAGAGTGAGAGAGAGAGAGAGAGAGAGAGAGAGAGAGAGAGAGAGAGAGAGAGAGAGCCCTTTGTCTTTTATCTAGAATTTGTCACACCAGTGTACCTATAAGTCTCCAGTCCGACTATCATAAGGAAATATTCTATTCCCTGGTTTCACCAAAAGAAGCTGATTTCTTTTTCTATGTCGAGGGGGACTGAAAACTCTGTGTGTGTGTGAGAAGAGAGAGAGAAGAAGAATAAGAGAGAGAGAGAGAGAAAGAGAGAGAGAGATTGAGAGAGAGAGAGACAGAGAAAACAGCTCTGACCCAACTCTCGTCCGGAAATGTTCTGTCCCCATCTTTTTCAAAACTTTTTGTTTCACCCTACCGTGGCTTGCAAAAGACAGAGTTCGATTCCTGTGTGGGTAGGGGTATTTTTTGTTCATCGAGTAGGGGGCCTAAGACCGCCTGTCAGCTGGAATACCGTCACAGGCAAAACAGCACATTATGTAAATCTTGTCCAAGTGTCCATGGTCTGTATTTACACAACAGGTGCACCGTAACCGCCCAGGGCCGGCTAATTATCCAAACTAATTGTAGTGATTTAACAGACAGGGAAGACTGATTGGAAAACATAAAAAAACAAGACAGACAGGAAAGACTGAATTGAAAACATAGAGGATAGGACAGACAGGGAAGACTGATTTTTAAAACATAGAGTACATAACAAACGGGAGGACTGATTTGAAAACAAAGAGAACAAACACATTTTGCTACCGATTTGAACTTTTATTTCCATACTGCCGGTTTCTCATAGTTTACAACACATTGCCAAAGCAGTACATTTCACATTTTCTATGCTCTGCGTAGTACCGTGTTGGCCGCTCGGTTCCAACCAGAAAGTGGGCCGTTGCCCGAACCATCGTTTTCCCGGCCACCCTTCTGGTTTGAACAGAGCGTTACACCCTTGCGCCACGGTGAGGCCCGGTACTTCCGACTTCCGCAAGGGGGGGAGTGGGGAGGGGAAGTCTGTGAGCTGTGGAAGACAAAACAAATAAGCGATAACAAAAACGTTCCCTACAATTTGGTCCCGTACCCGATACCTGCTGACGCCGTTAAAGAACTTGCTATTTTCCCATAACCGGTGACGTGGGCCAGTTCCAGTTCCCCGCGGACACCTGTCACCCCACATAATTTTATCACCCCCTGCACTTCCCCCAAACCCCCCCCCCCCCAACAGCCGAAACTGACATCTTACGTAATGAGGGGTCAGGGGTCAGTTCCCCACTAACCCCTAACCCCTCAGAAAGAGTTCCCCAAACTGGTTGAAAGATGGAAACAGCTCATGCCCCCAAAAAGCTGTTACCTATTACACTTGCATCAAAACGGATTCTTTAAAATACAGTGATTACTCAAAAGTGCAGCTTATCGAAAAAATGATCTACACCCCCCTCCCCCTCGCTTCTCTTCAAATTTCATCAACTTTTTTACTTCACACCTTACCCCCAACCCCATCACACTCACAAAGGTACTGCTGCCTCAGTCTCAAGCTAGGAACAGACCACGCATGAGACACACGGACAAACTGGACTGGCCACAGATACGGAAGCAGGAAGCTGAAGGGACTATTAAATCCTACGGAGACAGGCCCGCTCCTTAACGTCAAAAGCATCAACTGAGGCGTCTTATCATGCTAAATAAGAACAAAGACACAAACTACACACACATGCATCAACTAGTCTCATTTCCCATATTGGAATACTTTGTCGTTCCCTTAGAAGCCAGGCTCAGGGTCACGTCGAGGAAACTCTTCGGGAAGAGAGAAAAAACAATGCACACAGGGGAAAAAAAAAAGGAAATTTAGAAAAATGTCTTCTGAAATAAAACTTATTATTGTAAAAAATGATAATTTTACAGACATGCCAAAGCATTACAAAATTTATTCATTCATTCCTTAAACTAAAAATTATAAAAAGTAGGTTATAAAAATAACAACAACAGCAACAATAATAATAATCATCATAATCATCATATATTTTACACACATACAAACTCAATCAACTAAAACAAACAGACTTCCCCACCCCACTCCCCCACCTACCTGCTCCGTTGTTTCTCCTGTCGGTAAAGAGTTCTATAATTAACTCTCAAACAACCCGCTGTCATCTTCCACCTCGTCGTCCGTATCCACGAACAACACTCTGTAAATTTGGTCAAAGTCTACCTCGTCCTCAGCCCGCTCCCCAAAATCACTATCGTCGCTAGAAAAAAATTTCTCATCCTCCTCAAAATCCCCACTATCCTCCTCAAAATCCCCACTATCCTCCTCAAAATCCCCACTATCCTCCTCCCCGTCTCCGGAATCCCCCTCAAAACTCACCATCTCCTCGTCACTAGAAATAGGCTCTGGCTCCTCTATGATTATGGGCAAGATATGCCTGGCTCCGTCTGGTGCCCGCGAAGACTCCGAGTTCTGGGGAAAGAGAAAGGGAAAAACGGACCTGACCCAAATTGTTCCGGTTACGAAGTCAGAGGGCTCGGAAACACTATTTAGAAATACCCACAGAGCGAGAATGACACAATGACACGGTTGTTTTAAAAATGAGCCACCCAGCGAAAGTGTCGGTCCGCACCAAAAATATTTTTGAACATGCTACAGCTAGTCCGACAAAGGGACGGCTTTTTTAAAGATGACTTTTAACTGACGACACCGATTTCTAGCGAGCTACCGCATTTGGTCTTTTATCAATTTGTCCCATTTACATCAGTATACCGTGTAAAAAAAAAGATCGGGCAAAATTCTCACCAGGAAATGTTATATCACCATATTTCTCAAAAGTTGCTTTAATGTTTAGTGGTTGTGTGGGTGTGTGGGTGTGGTTGTGTGTGTGTGTCTGGGTTGGTGTGTGTGTGTGTGTGTGTGTGTGTGTGTGTGTGTGTGTGTGTGAGTGTGTGTGTGTGTGTGTGTGTGTGTGTGTTTGTGTGTGTGGGTTTGTGGATGCGTGACAACTCACCATCTCCTCGTCGCTGGCAAACGGCTGGGGCTGTTCCTCTCCAGACATGATAATGCGTCCGCGAAGATTCCGAGATCTGGGGAAAGAGAAGGGGAAAAACGGACGTGACCAAAATTGTTACGGTTACGAGGTCAGAGGGCTTGGAAACGTTATTTAAAATTAATACCTATAGAACGACAGTGACGCAGTCGGTTTACAAATTGAGGTTCCGTGCGGGGATGTCCGTCCGCACCAAAAACTATTTTGGCCCGTGCTGTAGCTCGTCCAATGAAAAGACACGCTTTTTTAACGGATGACTTGGGACAGATGGAACCGATTGTTATCGAGGTACCGTTCCCGGTCTTGTATCAGTTTGTCCCATTTACATCAATATCCGTAAGAAAATAGTTCCGCCTGACTCATATCGAGCAATATTTTATTCCGGCCTCCCAAGAAAAGTGCCCTTCCACGCCAATCTGTAACGTTGGAAAAACTATTGCTCGAAAAGACAAAACGGGGTTGTCACGCGTTTAGAGGGCACTCTTCGGGAGAATTAGTGGTCCCGGCCTAATACCATAGAAATAACACTTGCAATCGGAAACACAAACGGAGGCCGATTAAAAAAGCTGGCTTGAGTTGCCAGGTTGAAAATGCCACCCGATGAAGAAAAAAAAATAAGGTAGAAAATATTCGAAAATCGAACCCCCCCAAAAAAGTACTGAAGACAGCTTTTTTCTCGACCTCCATTTTTGTTTCCGACTTCAAACTCTGAGTGTTATTTCTTAGGAGTTAAGCCGGGACCACTCCTCATGAAGAATGACGTTTAGAGAACCGAGGCTAAAAGTAAATGGGATCGAAAGTTATTCGCCAAAAAATCTAGGCCTATGCTTTTGTGTCGGACGAGCTGCAGAAAATTTCTCAAAATGAAATGACGGTTCGAGGCCTCCACTTTTTAATTCAAGAATCACTCGCGTTTCTTACTCATGGAATACAGACTTCAAAGTGAACCATTAAAGAGATAAATTTATAAATTGCAATTTTATGGATCCCAGAGGGGCAGTTTGGTTAACGGTGTCAAACACCGACATTTGCTTAACATTACTGTTGAGTCTAAACTCACTAGATCTAGATCTGGGCCTACTCACTTAGCCACCCGAGCCCCCAAATTTTAATTAGTTAAAACCGTTCGGCTCACCGTGTGACATTTCCAATCAACCACTAAACAACCCTAGATCTAGCTGTACAAAGCCAAGTCCTAGCATTAAGCATTGCCATTAGTTAGTAATAATATAATAATAGGAAACTCACTTGGTTGACTAAGCGTTTGGCTCACCGAGTGATATTTCCAATCTTTTCTAAACAACCCTAGATCTAGAAAATCTAGATCTAGATCTAGATCTTAATCTAGCTCTACAAAGTGCCCAGCTCAGAAGGATCTAGCATTGCCATTAGATCTTGATCTAGTCATTAATTAGTGAATGCCAATACTTGGTACAAGATTCTAGCAATAGGAAGCTTTTTAGTTTTATTATTAGCATTAGAATCTAGATCTAGATTCTAGATCTTCTAGTATTAGTAAATTAGGGTTAGGCTCACCGTGTGCTATTCCCATCGAACACTAAACAACCCTAGATTTAGCTCTACAAAGGCCAGTACTACCCCTGAACACTGCATGCAGTGCCAGTGGTCATTAGTTAGTTATAATAAGTTAGGTCGGAGTATTAGGGACTAAGAGCTAAGAAGTAGAGGCAAGCCTAGGCCTAGATCTAGAGTCTGTGTTTGGTTCTACACGATACAACATCTAGATCTACACAAGCCTACACTGCCCAGCTTTTAGCTACAAAGAAAACTACCACAGCATTCTGATCATTACCTTAGGTTCTAAATCCAAATCAACAAGGCACAGACACGTTCGCAACTGTATCTGGTTTCGCTATCGAATGAGAGACACGGCACGGCGGAAGTCAAGGAAAACTTCCGCTTCCGATTTTATTATTTTTCCTATTTCTGAGCACAAACGAGGGGTTGTGTGCAATCAACCTAAGAAAGGCGATGGAAGCCGTGACTGAACGCAAGTGACCAAGCGAGTTAAATTATAATATACAGAGAGAGAGAGAGAGAGAGAGAGAGAGAGAGAGAGAGAGAGAGAGAGAGAGGGAAGTAGAGAGAGGGAAGAAGACAAAGAGATGGAGAGAGCTAGCGAGAGAGGGAGAGCGAGAGAGAGAGATAGAGAGAGAGCGAGAGATAGAGAGAGAGAGAAAGAGAAGAGAGAAAGAGTGAGAGAGAAAAAAGGAGAGAGGGAAAAAGAGAGAGGTAAATGGATAGGAGAGAGAGAGAGAGAGAGAGAGAGAGAGCGAGAAAGAGAAAGAGTGAGAGAGAAGAAATGAGAGAGGGAAAAAGAGAGAGATAGATGGCTAGGGAAAGAGAGAGAGAGAGAGTGTGTGAGAGAGAGAGGGAGAGAGGCAGAGAGAGAGAGTGAGAGAGGCAGAGAGAGAGAGTGAGAGAAAGAGTGAGAGAGAGACAGAGAGAGTGAGAGAAAGAGGGAAAGAAAGAGAGAGAGAGAGATAACAACTTAATGTGCCTCTCACTTTCAAACGATTGTCTTTCTCTTTCACGAAGGGTTTGGCGACTAAAATAAAATACGCACACAGTGCGTCTTTATCTATGAGCGCAGACCTCCGGGACACACCGGGAAGAGCGGAGTTTCACACCTTGTCTTTTTTTCTGTGTTCTTGTTCGTGCACCAACATGTTTGTTTGTACTTCGGTCTGTAGTGTAGTAATGGTTAAGGCTGGCTTTTCTTCTTCTTCTTCTTCTTCTTCTTCTTCTTCTTACTGCTTCCCCACCACCACTTTCTCTCATCTCTCATTTGTAAATAGCTTGTCCACGTGGCTACTAGTATCGATTACTCAATGTACATTACTACTCTTTTTTAGCTCCCCGTTAAAAGTCTTTAGGTTTAGAACTCCAATTCCCATATTTAGGATAACAAACATAAGTTTTAAGGAACAGAGCCCCGTACAGTGGTTTAAGATGTTTGCGATGTGAGATATGACGGGCGATTCTTAACTAATCGGGTATCGATATTTGACAATTTCGATAATATACCATTAAACGGCATTTTTAACAACTTTCTTTCTTTCCGATTCATGCCGATTATCAGTGTGTTATAGAGGAAGGACTTCTGGTTCTAATGACCTAGAGAGAGAGAGAGAAGAGAGAGAGGAGAGAAGAGAAGAGAGAGAGGAAAGAAAGGGGAAGAGAAAGAGGAAGAGAGAGAGAAAGAGAGAGAGAGAGAGAGAGAGAGAGAAAGAGAGAGAGAAAGAGGGTGGGTTGGAGGGGAAAGAGGGGGGGATTAGGGGTTATGGGGTGACAACATCTTTGCCCCTTACTTTCAAAATATTTTTATTCTTTCACGAAGGGTTTGGCGATGATTTGTATTTTCCGCTAGACTGGAAAAAAACACGCCCAAAGTGAGCTTTTTCTATGAGCGCAGACCTACGGGACACACCGGGAATTGCTGCTGACTCTCTCTCTCTCTCTTTCTCCCTCTCTTTCTCTCTCTCTCTCTCTCCCCTCTCTCGTCCTGTCTCTTTCTCCTGAGTGTGTGCGTGAGTGCGTGCATGCGCGCGTGTTTGTGTGCGTACAATATATGTATATGGCTGTCGCATTGGTCTTTTATCGATAATTTGTTTCACTTATATTATATGAATGTACGAATAAGAAAACAACTCAAACCCGACTTTCGACTGGAAATGTTTTAATGAAATTGAAATATACCTATTTCGGGTCGGACTGCCAAGCGCGCGCGAGTGTGCGTGCGTGTGTGTGTGTGGGTGGGTGCGTGCGTGTGTGTGGGTTTGAGGATGCGTGAGAACTCACCGTCTCCTCGTCGCTGGCAAACGGCTGGGGCTGCTCCTCTCCAGACATGATACTGCGTCCGCGAAGATTCCGAGATCGGGGGAAAGAGAAGGGGAAAAATGGACCTGACCAAAACTGTTACGGTTACCAGGTCAGAGGGCTTGGAAACGTTATTTAAAATTAATACCAACAGAATGACACTGACGCAGTCGGTTTAAACATGAGGGACGGAATGGGGATGTCACTCCACACCAAAACTATTTTTGCCCGTGCTGTAGCCTGTCCGATGAAAAGACACGCTTTTCTTATGGATGACTTGAGACAGACGGCACCGATTGTTAATGTTATCGAGCTACCGTTCCCGGTCTTGTATCAGTTTGTCCCATTTACATATCAATATCCGTAAGAAAATAATTCCGCAATACTCATATCGAGCAATATTCTGGCCTCTCTAAGAAAAGTGCCCTTCCACACCAATCTGTAACGTTGAAAAAAGTTTTGCTCGAAAAGACAAAACGGGGTTGTCAATCGTTTAGAGGGCACTCTTCGGGAGAAGTGGTCCCGGCCTAATTCCGTAGAAATAACACTTGCAATCGGAAACAAAAACGGAAGCCGATTAAAAAAGCTGGCTTGAGTTTCCAGGGTGAAAAGGCCATTGATGAAAAAAAAAATAATGTGGGAAATATTCTAAACTCGAAGTAAGGAAAAAAAATTACCGAAGACAGCTTTTTTACTCGACTTCTGTTTTTGTTTCTGACTACAAGTCTTAGTGTTATTTCTATGGTGTTAAGCCGGGACCACTTCCCTCGAAGAGTGCCGTTTAGAGAATCTAGGTTAAAGTAAAGTGGATCGAAAGTTATTCGACAAAAAATCTAGGCTTATGCTTTAGTGTCGGACATGCAGCGAAAAATTTCCCAAACTGAAATGACGGTTCGAGGTCTCCACTTTTTAATTCAAGAATCGCTCGCGTTTCTTACTCATGGAATACTGACTTCAAAGTAGTAAAGACATAAATTTACAAATTACAGTTTTATTGATCCCACAAGGGTATTACTGTTGAGTCTAAACTCACTTGATTCTAGATCTAGATTCTAGATCTAGATCTAGGCCTACTCACTTAGTCACCCGAGCCCCCAACTTTTAATTAGTTAAAACCGTTCGGCTCACCGTGTGACATTAACAATCAAACACTAAACAACCCTAGATCTAGCATTAAGCATTGCCATTATAGTCATTTGTTAGTGAATGACTTTTGTGTCGGACGAGCTGCGAAGAATTTCCCAAACTGAAATGACGGTTCGAGGTCTCCACTTTTTAATTCAAGAATCGCTCGCGTTTCTTACTCATGGAATACTGACTTCAAAGTAGTAAAGACATAAATTGACAAATTACAGTTTTATTGATCCCACAAGGGTATTACTGTTGAGTCTAAACTCACTTGATTCTAGATCTAGATCTAGATCTAGACTTAGTCACCCGAGCCCCCGAGCCAATTAGTTAAAACCGTTCGGCTCACCGTGTGACATTTCCAATCAAACACTAAACAACCCTAGATCTAGCATTAAGCATTGCCATTATAGATCTAGATCTAGATCTAGGCCTACTCACTTAGTGTGATATACAATCAAACTCTTTTCTAAAACCGTTCGGCTCACCGTGTGACATTTCCAATCATGTGATATACAATCAAACTCTTTTATCTAGAAGTCATTAATTAGTGAATTAGTGAATGCCAATACTCAGTAATAGAGGAAGCTTAAATTTGTTTTACTAAATTAGTATTAGATCTAGTATTAGTTAATTAGTAAAGGGTAAGGCTCAGTAATTCACTGTGTGCTATTCCCATCAAACGGTAAGGCTCACTGTGTGCTATTCCCATCAAACTTCCAGTGGACATCAGTTATAATAAGTTAGGTAAGAAGAACTAAGAAGGAGAGGCAAGCCTAAGGAGAGGCAAGCCTAGGCCTAGGTCTAGATCTGGTCTCTCTCTCTCTCGGAGACTCTGAGTCTTGTTTGGTCTACACGATACTAGAGTCTAGATCTAGATCTATACTAGCCTATACTAGCCTACACTGCCCAGCTACAATATAAACCACCACAGCCATCTGATCATTACCTTAGGTTCTGAATTCAGATCAACAAGGCACAGACAACACGTTCGCACTGTATGCAGTTTCGCTTTCGAATCAGAGACAACGCGGCTTCCGCTTGGCAAATGTTTATGTTTTTTCTATTTCTGAGCACAAACGAGGGGTGGTGTGCAATCTACCAAAGAAAACCGATGGAAGTCGTGACTGACCGCAAAAGACCAAGCGAGTTAAATTATGAGAGAGAGAGAGAGAGAGAGAGAGAGAGAGAGAGAGAGAGAGAGAGAGAGAGAGAGAGAGGGAGAGAGAGGGAGAGAGACAAAGAGAGAGAGAGAGCTAGAGAGAGGGAGAGAGAGGGAGAGATAGAATAGAGAGAGAGAGAAGGAGACATATAGAGTAATTCTAGATTAGACATAAAAGGATGGATTGGATCAGAGAGCGACTGAGAGAGAGAGGAAAGACCGCTGACAGACAGCAAGACACAGCACAGCTGACTCTCTTACCAGAGGCACGGCATATAACCACTACGGGATATCCAGTATTGTGAAACACAAGTGATCACTGATGTGCACAGAGGTTTCGCTCTGTCACTGAGAGTGGTTTTTTATGACACGCACTAAAAGCCACCCAGACTACCAGTATGGTGGGGAGTTAAAACTACTGACTATGAATGGTCCGCTCTGTATTCATGAGCA